AGGGTGCATCCAGCTCCTCTTGGAAAGTAAAATGGTTAATTGTGGGTCCCAAACCCGTTTCTGCCGGTCTTTCCCGGGACCTATGCATCACCAGCGACAGGTCTGTTCTGTGTTCTATTTAATGTCATGGAGAAGGAAATACGTTGTGGGTAGTTGTCATTGGTCAAAACGAGGTAAACAAAACCAAACTTTGAAAATGCACACTTTAGTTTTGATTTTTGTTGAAAAAGGGAAAATCTAAATATACAGTTTTGGGCAAAAAATGTCATTATTGCCATGAACATAGGTGTTACCTGGTTTTTCTCTTCACATTTTTTCTTAGAGTAATTGCCTTTAATTTTTCTAGTCTTAAGGGAAATAAAACTTTAAGATTGTACCCCCAAATAGTCCAAAGCATGCTGTAACATTTTTTATAACACTATCTTATACACATTAACAGAAGTCATGGTACAGATATCATACTCATTATGAAAAGAGTTAAATAATATTTCATATTAAAATAGAACTTTTAATTACAATTTTATTATAATCTGAGTCTAATGAAAACTCTTTATAAAAGTATTTCGGGTAGGCATTATGAGGATTAAACTGAATTCTTGTTCCATTTTCAAATGATACATTAAAATCAATTATAAGGCAGGAAAAAAGTACATGTATATTACTACTTTATAATCTTTCCCTGAGGCCTTTATTTTAAATATTGCTAGTACTTCAATGTGCATGTTGTGTCTTTTCAAAGTACTATCCAACTGCTGCCCATTTTATTGTTATTTCTTTTTGTTTCTTGATTCTCTTTTATTCCTGAGAGGTGGAGAGAGACAGGAGGTCACCTCCCCAAGACCCACCCTGAGCAGTGAGGAAATGACTCTGGGTAGTTGAAGGCCTGGACCACGGCCACACAGCTAAGTGAGCAGAACAAGCATGAGCAGCCAGACCTCCCGACTCCCAGGCCATTATTTCTTTACCCTTCCCTCTTGCTAGGCAGAAGGAAATTGGTGCCATCTGTCTGGACCTAAAGAATTGATCCATTCACTAAACAATTGTTAGATGTGTAATTATTTTATATGCCATATACCATTTTAGACATGGGAAAGTTGTGCACCACAGAGTCCCTGCTCTGAAGGAGCTGAGGAAGGAAGCAGAGTAAACCAGGGGAGAAGTGCTCTGGGGGCGGGGGCGGCAGTGGGACCAGAGCTGATGCCTGCTGGGGGTCAGGAAAGCCTTCTAGCCTCACTGGCTGCTGGGCAGAGTGTCAGGGAGCTGGGGTTGCGGGCACAGAGGGTACTGAGGTTGTCGTGGGTGCAGAGGCGTGCACTGGAGAGAGTGGCCCTTTTGAAAACTTCCAGTGTTATAATCCAGCCATCAAAGTGACCTGGGGGTATAGGCCCTCTCTTGGGAGAGGGGGCTGGGTTAGCACGAAGGTCCACAGGAGAAGGGCCTGTTTGCATGTTAGGGGCTTACAGTTTGTGTTATAAACAAACAGTGGTGAGCTGTTGAGAGATTTGAGGAGGGGAGTGGTGATGAGATTTCCATTTTTAAACTGTCAGCCTGAAGTGGTTTGGAGAAGTGAGAGTTGGGCCGAGAGGCAGGCGAGCCATCAGCTGCGGGAGAGCAGGTCAGTGGTGAGGCTGCCTTTTTCGTCATCTACGTTTGTTCATTTCAGAGGCCTGCCTGAAGCAGCGGCAGTAGAAATGGGAAGGATGAGTGAATTATCGGGATAAAGTCAACAGGTTTAGATGACTGATTAGACGTAGGGGGAGGAGGGCCAAGTGTGGGTGGAAGGAGGCATGTGAAGTGCCCCTGGAGTATTCAGCTGGACAAATCCAGAGCCATTGGGTGTTGGAACCCAAACCCCAGGAAAGGTCTGGCCAGAGACATAAGTTTGGAATCATCTGATACAGACGCTAGCTGAAGCCAAGGCTGTGGGAGAAGCACCTGTGTGAGGAGTGCCGTGGATGTAGAACTCTGGGGACAACACCACAGTGACAGGGATGACGGGAGAAGAAAACATACAGGACCAAAGAGGGTAGTGTCACTCGAGCTGAGACAGAAGGCCGTGGTCAGCTGCATGAACTCCCCAGAGCTCAGGTGAGATGAGGGCTGAACCAGCTCGAAGCTTCAAGGAGGAGAAATGAACTCCCATCCGCTTTCTGCGACATCAAACCCAAACTCCTTTCACTAATGCAGTGAAAGCATCCTGATCCGTCCTATCTTCCTCAGAGCAAACATACACTAGTTGGCCCCCCAGGTCTGAACTGGACTTGGTTCCAACCAATAGACAACCCACACCCAAGGTTTTATCTTTAAAAAATCAGCTGTGCCATCAGTTATAAGAACCTATACTAGGCACCCTGTTTTCAAGGATGCAAAGATGAGTAGAAGTCATGCAGTTATGGATCATTAACTTTGGATGCAGAATGGTCTGCATTTGCTTTGGGTGCCCAGAGGTGAGGGAAACAGCCTTCGTAGGTGCAGGTGGGGCGTGCTAAGGAGCGTCTTCTACAGCTCGTATCCCCAGGGACTCACCTCTGTTTCACCCAACCACAAAACCAGACCTATATTTTCACCTGATTTCTCTCTGTGTTTCACAAGAGGTGGTAGAAGCCTGTATCTAGAGAACAGAGCCCATTAATTCCCCAGAGCTCCCGCAAGCCCAGCTCCCTCAGGCTACATGCTCTTCAGCCACCAACAACAGGACAATTTGAAATGTTGCCCCAAGCCCAGCCCCACAGTGGGTCCACCTGACCCTGGAACCAGTGCATCCCACCTGCTCCCACCTTTGGTGTCTTCCTCCCTTATCCCCAGCCCTGCTCCAGGTTCTGTCACCAGCTGCCACCTAGGTCAGTTGGAGTCTCTCTAGAACTAACGCCCAGGCTCTTGGATTCCCCCTGCTGGCTGACAGCAAAAGCACTGCCTAGCTTTTTTTGTTGTTCATTTTTAAATAATTTAAGGTATTCTGGTGACAATTTTCTTTCTCCCACTCTTTCTCTGTCTTTCTGACACACTGTACTTCTTAGCAAGGTTTCTCTAACTTTTACATTGAACACTAGTTGATGGCCCATTCCTGGTAAGGAACCTCTGGTCAGTCCTGGCTCAACAAATGGCTTAGTCCAGGGTTACAGAGGGTGCCATACAAGTAGGTACAAGGTACGGAGAGGACATTAGAATGTCCACTGTGAACTGCCCCCACCTCTGCCACTGGTGATGGTCATATTCACGGCAGATGTTTTCGCAGACTTGGAACCAAGCACTCCGTTGAACACTTCACAGGCATTACGTCATGAGAGTCCTCACATCAGCCTTGTGAGGCAGCTCCTCTCTGTCAGGCTCTGCTTCTCAGATGACGAAGCCCCGACAGGAGTTCCTGGCTTGTCCAGGGCAGGGCTCAGGGCTGGAGCTCAGATCTCTGACACCGGAGTCCTCCTTCACATCACACAGTGCTACCTCCCTCCTCAGGTGCTCCAGGCTCTACGGGCCCTTATTTTGGCATAAATGCTATGACCGGTTCTTGCCGCCAGGGGCGCACCCATCCCATGTTTGGGTCATGACTCGCCCCTCGTCTGCCTCAGCAGACTCTGACCTTGAAAAGCAGACAGCATCTCTTACTGGCCTTTGCTTTCCCTAGCACAGAGCCCAGCTCATAGTAATAGAAATAATAGCAATTACTTAATATTTATCAAGCACCCATCTTGGACCAGGCAGGGTGCTAAGTACTTTATATTTTAGATCCTCTCATTCAGCCATAACAACCTCCCATGTAACATAAAATTATTATTCCCATTTTACAGATGAGGAAACTGAAGCTTAGTGAGTTCTGTAACTTGCCCGAGGTTACCCAGTAAGAGAGCAAAAACCCAGACTTGACTCTAGGTCTCCCTGAACTGTTTTCACATTTGATTAATTTGCACACCCTACATTGATAGACCTGATTAGATACTTCTTCCTTTTTCAATGTTGGTTAAGCTGTGTTTGTAGGAAGGTTAAAATCAGTGGTGCCCTGAGGAGCACTTGCTGTGTCTCTCCCAGCAGACGGCTCCGCAGGCAGGGGGCCGTTTCAGCAGTTCGGGCCTCGCACCTTTCTGAGGAGAAGGGTTGGGGAATATGAAGGACAGAAGGTGACTGTAGACATGCTGAAAATCCACTTCTGGACTCAATCACTTACATGAAACTTTGCAAATATTTTATGAAATAATCACCGTGCTTTTGTGGCTCATCTGCCAACCAAAGATTCCAAGTTCAACATTTTTAAGGCCTAAAATTCATTGACCACAGATTTAGGTACCCAGGAGAGATGAATCCAAAACTCTACCTCCTTTCCAGATCATAATTTAAAAACAACAACAAAAAAACAGAAACCCAATCTTTGCAGTGAGACTCTATGTTAGATTTAGTCCATGCATTACTTTTGTTCAACTGTTAAAATGTTCCCCAGAGTGTGCATGGGTCTTCACAGACCTAACTGGTGTTCTTTTGTTTGTCTTTACTTCCAGGTTCAAGTTACTATTGCTTATCTCAGATTTTCAAGTTACCACTGAAGTCAGTGAATAATTTAAGATTAGATGCTTAGGAAATGTAAGCTATCATTAGTAATCTCAATATTTGTAATTTTTATATTTCAATACAGTATTTCATACTATTACAGCCTGTCTGACGGTTATTTTAATAACATCTAGAAAACTCCAAAGCCTTTAAAGTTACTCTTACTTTCTAAATATCATTCTAACAGGGTGGCTAACATTTCCATTTCATAAGACATAACTTGGCCTTACACTGTAATGGGCAGTAAGGATAACATTAGGATGGTACGGTAGTGAGGGATCTTGGTCCAACTCTATCATTCTGCAGATGGGAAAAAAGGGCTCAAAGAAGCTGCCTGCAGCTCCTTGCCTCCCCTATTGCACGAGAAAGCTACCCATCACTAAAAAAGACACAGTTCCTTTGCTGTCTTAGCTCAGTCTCTCTCTCATTGCATTTTTGCTGCTTTTCCTTTTTTTCTTTAGGTCATATCCCCTGTCCTGTTGTGCTGGGCAGCCATGACGACGGCCATCCTGGAGCACCTGAGCACCCTGTCTGTCAGTGGGCAGCAGCTGCGCCGCCTGCCCAAGATTCTGGAGAACGGGCTTCCCAAGATGCCTTGCACTGTCCCAGAGACAGATGTGCCCCAGCTTTTCCGGGAGCCTTACATCCGCACCGGCTACCGCCCCACAGGACACAAGTGGCGCTACTACTTCTTCAGCCTCTTTCAGAAACACAATGAGGTGGTCAATGTCTGGACCCACTTGTTGGCGGCTCTGGCTGTCCTCCTGCGATTCTGGGCCTTTGCCGAGGCCGAGGCCTTGCCGTGGACCTCGGCCAGCACCCTGCCCCTGCTCCTCTATGTCCTGTCCTCCATCACTTACCTCATGTTCAGCGTTCTGGCCCACCTGCTGCAGTCCAAGTCCGAGCTCTCCCACTACACTTTCTACTTTGTGGACTACATTGGCGTGAGCATTTACCAGTATGGCAGTGCCTTGGTTCACTTCTTCTACACCTCTGACCAGGCCTGGTACGAGCACTTCTGGCTTTTTTTCTTGCCAGCAGCTGCCTTCTGTGGCTGGTTGTCTTGCGCTGGCTGTTGTTACGCCAAGTATCGTTACCAGAGGCCTTACCCAGTCATGAAGAAGATATGTCAAGTGGTGCCCTCAGGGCTGGCCTTCATCCTAGACATCAGCCCCGTGGCGCACCGAGTGGCCCTGTGCCACCTGGCTGGCTGCCAGGAGCAGGCCGCCTGGTACCACACCCTCCAGATCCTCTTCTTCCTGGTCAGCGCCTACTTCTTCTCTTGCCCAGTTCCCGAGAAGTACTTCCCAGGCTCCTGTGACATTGTGGGCCACGGGCATCAGCTCTTCCACGTGTTTCTGTCTATCTGCACGCTCTCCCAGCTAGAGGCCATCCTCCTGGACTACCAGGGGCGGCAGGAGATCTTCCTGCAGCGCCACAGTCCCCTGTCCGTCTACATGGCCTGTCTGTCTTTCTTCCTCTTGACCGCCTGCAGCGCCACCACTGCAGCCCTCCTGAGGCACAAAGTCAAGGCCAGACTGATGAAGAAAGAGTCCTGAGGCTGGCAGGTGGGGCGAAGTTGGATGCACCTCATGGTGATTTGGGGAAAATGCGATACGAAACAGGAGTTGACTTTTTATTTTTAAGAGGTGGCTTTTACATTGAAACGTATTTCCAAGGCTACGGCCTTGGGAAGCCAAAGGACTCAAGAGTTAGGTTGTTATAGTTGTTCATAAAAGGAGTGTTCCTTTTTCGTCTAGGTCACAGCCTTTCAGACACAGGAAAGGAAGGGACCATGGCTAAGATTCATATGACGCTGAATTACGGATCATCTCCCTACCTGAAAATTCAGTAGAATTCTGAGTGTGGCCTCCAGGGACAAGTCCTGGAGCTGAAGAGATGATAACCTTGGGCCGAAAGACAAGTAGGGGGCCAGTCCACACCATGTTGGAATCGCCATCCTACTCTGCTGGTCTTCGATGATTGAATAAATTGACCCAAGGACCCAGTTTCCTTTGGATTTCAGCTGTTCAGGGTGGAGAATTCAGAATCTTCAAGATTCAGTGAAACCCTTAGACATGAATTATTCATTTCATACTATTTCTGGCCCTTCCTCTGTCACCCACTCTAACCCTGACCCTTTTCTCAGGATGACATCTTTCTGGCTATTTTCTCTAAAGTGCTGTTCACTCCGATCCATACCTTGGTAATATACAGGACGGTGAAGTAGTCATACTCTCAGTAGTTGCTTGGATTCGTGTGGAAATCCAGGAAGCTTATTCTCATATAATACTAATGCAAACAGTACTAGAAAGTACAGTGCCAAGAGCCCCCAGGAAGTGCAGCCAGCAAGCATGGAGACTGTTGGAGATCAGGGGACCCTTCTGTTCTATATCTGTGGACTGGAGCATCACTTGAGATCTCTTAGGGCTGCCTCACAGGCCAGAAGACCTGGGGCTTGCTCCAGGGGATCATCTCCAGATTTTGACCAGCGTATTCCAAGAGCCCCTGGTAGAGTGCATCAGTTCTAAGTGTCCCCTTAGGGATCTCATCATTTCCAGAGGAAGCCAAGTTCCAGCCTTTTAAATATATGCCATCCCACAAAGGACCCACATAACTGCCCTAGTTCAGGGTCCTCAGGCAGACACTTATGCCTCAGCTTAGAGCTGAACCCTTAAAATAATCAAGCCCCAGGACAGGTGAGCATGTGTCTCACTGTGGGTTGGTCCATAAAGGCTCCTTTTGGGTAAGAATGGTGAACGGCACACCCTGTAGCTAGAATGTTCTGTGGAGGGCATCACTGCCCAGCAGCTGCTATGGGATAGGTGGTACTCGCCACTGTGTTCTGGCCACACAGCCTTTCTGAGGACTGACTTCACACTAATCCAGTGAAAGGGGCTGTGCTGACAGAGGAGCTGAGCCATGGCAGCCTTCTCAGAGGCTACAATTCCTATCAGTGGTATAAGGTTCCTATTTACTAAAAAGAGAAGTGGTTTGTTTTCACTCCAGTTTGATGAACATCTTCTAACTACTAGATTATTCCATTGTCTTCAAATCTTAGTTTTCTTTCTTTCTCTGAGAGATTTGTGGGTTTTGTGCCTTATAAATGGAAATTTATGAACACTACTATATATATGGAATTTGCAGTTTTGGGTTATTGGGATAAGAAAGGAAGAATTCATTGCTTTTCAACCAGTGGATGAAAGAATACCTTATCAATCAAAAGACTCTTTGAACCTGCTTATTTTGGCAAAAAAAAAGGAGAGAAAAATTCAACTGAAGCTTTCTTATAACCTTTCTATCAAGAAAATGTATATCTTGTCAGCTATGTAGTTTTCCTAGATGTTTTCATAGGTTTCCCTTTTAATCTTCAAATACGTGAACGTCTGTGCTACCCAAGTGTCTTACACAGTCTTCCGGTGTCTAGGCCAAATTCACCACAAATGAAGTCCGCAAACTGAACAGGGTTGAACTAAACCAGGGGATGGGGGAGGCGTGCAAACACATTCCAAGTAGAGGGTCAGTTTAAAATGGGGAAGAGAAAGTGAAATGTCTATGAGTATGGATTCAAAGACTAGGTTCTTTTAAAAGTTGGAAGGAAGCTGTAAGTCCAGCTCTTGAATGGAACTGGTGGCAGAGATCTTTAGGTCAAATGCAGGTTTTACTTTTAAGAGAAAACAGTAGAGCAGTGATCTTCAAATGTAGACCTGCACACTGTAAATGGTCTGTAACAAGACAGATACAGATAGTCTAAACTTTTAGATATTGCCATAAAATTTTCAGTTTAATGCAAGTGTTGGTCTCTCAAGTGATTGGAAAATTTTTTTTAATATTTTCACCGAGATATTCAAGAAGCTTTGGGGTGGAGACTAGTATCTCATTAAAAATACTAGTATCTCATTAGCAATATGTAAACATGGGAAATGCAGATGTTTTTAACTACTCAGACTTTTGAGGGATTAAATACTCTTTTTAAAAACATTTTCATTAAAATGAGTGTATCGGTATGGAACAGACCTAGGTTTTTTTAAAGGAATAATTAAGTATTTGATAATGGAGATAGTTATCTTTCTCCACCATACCCCCTCAAACAGTTGACATCTACTGGAAATTCTGCTCCTTATCTCTCTTTTTTAACTAATTTTTTAATACTTTAAACCTATTAAAATGTAAATGCCTCTGAAAAAAACTAAACAATCATCTTGTGAATAAAAATTCTGATGGATTTATACCAGGGCCTTTCAGAGTAGGGTGAGGGGACAGTGAGGTGCCCCAGACTGGGCACATGCTTGCCTGTTCCCCTCTTACCTAGGACTTCCTAACCTCTCCTGAATTAACAAGCTGATGTTGATACCCTTCAGATGGTAGGGTTTTGTTTCTCACCTCAGCCGAAAGTACCTCATTCAATAACAGCATTCTCAATCCTCTACTGAAAGCTTGAAGAATAGCAGGAGCTCAGGCCACATGATGAAGAATGAAGGATGAAGGTCATTCATTCCTGCCTGTGTTGCCCACCTGTTCACAAATTGTACCTTAATGCTTAAAACCATTAGGTTCTTCAGTTGCTGCACTGTAGTTTCAAGTAGGCCCTCCAGATGGCGCACGTGTGTTTCTCAGAGGGCCCAGCTGTTGTCCTCAAGGTCTCAGCCTACTAAATGTGTTCGACCTAGTGTTTTGCTTGATTGCTTGGCAAGGAAAATTTGGAACTATTTTCTGTTTATATAAACCTACTTACAGAAATGACCATTAAACTGATTTGTATATGGATTGTTGTACTGTCAACATCTACCTTGTTTCTTTGACACGGCCCTTGACAAGGGCTACTTTGCCAAGGGCCACTCTAAAGAAAGTTTTTATCTGCACCATAGTTGCCAGGAGGAGGAGGAGATCATGTCACTTTGTACCCACCTAGGAGTAGGGAGGGAAGGGTAAGAGAATATTTAAATCTCCAAATCCCCCAAAATTACACACACCCCAAATCTTCATTTTTGAGCAAATCAAGTATCCCCCAAAAAAACTATGGAGTGGATTTCCCTGAGGATTTCATTCTAATTGAATAAATATTCCTCAGCTCATGGGTAGTAGGGTTAAAGATGAAAAAATTTTGAATTGATAGACTGTGTTTTTGAAATTTAAAAATTATACTACCATAGGTACTGTAAGGTATGTGTTGTGAAATATGGAACCTATCAACCAAAGGGTTTTATAGCCTGTTACATTTAAACACATAACTATGAAAAAGATGATTCTCTGGGCTACTCTAGCTTCAGGTACAGCACCATCACAATGACAGTAAGAAGACAGCATTGCCCTGGCTCCAGGCATTACTAGTAGAACTAAAGATGCCCCTCTTGTTCAAACAACCCTTTTCATCACCAGCACGGGCACTAGGCAGGTTGCAAATATGTCTGTTGTCACCATTAACAGTTTAATCACTCCAGTTATTTATTCAACAAGTATTATATTTACGAGCACCTATTGGTGGTAGGCACTATGTTGGCTCTTGCAGTAACGCAGTGAGGAAAAAACAGACACTCCAGGTGGTGAGTTTGCTGTCTGTTGAATGAGGATCAGCCTTTTCCCACCTTGGGCCATGGCAGGGTCCCCCTCTCCAGGTCCTGGCCCCCAATCACAGCCCAGGGGCCAGCTGGCCTGCCAAGTCCCAGGAGGCTGGGACCTGCTTTAGGCCAGAGCCTTTTCCCCACAGAGGCTAGAAAAGTCTCTTACCCCTGCCCCCTGCACCACACCCCCTGCACACCACTGCTGATTACACAACAGTGTAATCACCTTATGGCTACCTCGGTCCTTCTTGTTAATCCCACTGCTTCTCAGCCCTTCTTATTGTCTATCTTCTAGTGTTTTAATTAAATCTTGAATATCCTTGATAATTCAGACCCAGAAAAGCCCTGTGTTTCCACAGACAGTGTACACTTCCCAGACACACAAAGCCCCATCTTCAGGAAGGCCGTGGAGGGTTCCAGCCTGTGTAGAGCTTCCTGATTTGGTAAACTGGAAACAGTGTGCTTCATACACTCTGGCTGCTTCCTTTTTAAAATTAAAAACAAAACAAAAATCCACCCAATCCCTTAAGGATTTTTTTTTAAAATAATATGGAAGGAAAACTCATTGCCTTAAAAAATTCATTTAAATATTAACTTTGGGAGCATATTTATCTAAAGTATGGGCTTTTCTTATCTAACATGATTCTAGTGGGAAGAGGTATGCACTGTATTTTACACTCCAGGAGGCCTTCACCAACTCAAAGGCAACAGAATGGCACCTCAGCCCTGGCTAGCATGGCTCAGTTGGCTGGAGAGTCATCTGTAAACCAAATGGATATGGGTTCAGTTCCCAGTCAGGGCACATGCCTAGGTTGTGGATTCAGTCCTTGGCCAGGGCACATGAGAAAGGCAACTGAAAGATGTTTTCTCACATTGGTGTTTCTCTCTCACTCTTCCCCTCTCTCTAAAATCAGTGAGCTCCTCCTTGGGTGAAGATTTAAAAAAAGAGAGAGAGAGAGAATAACACTTCAGATCCTACCATGCTTTCCAGAACATTTCCACATTCATTTGAGCTTCTAAATAATCATGAGATAAGGCCAAAAAGATCTCTATTAAACTAGGAAACACTTAAAAAAAATGGAATGACAGGTTCTAAGGCACATAACAGGTTGTAATGTTCAAACTCAAGCTCATTTTTCCTTTGGATAAATTCAGCGCTCAACTAATGAGAAACATCAACACCAAATATTTCTGGAGCCCTTTTTACTATGTAAAGCACTTTTATGTATTGTGTGTACTTTAACCTAATCTCATTTTTACTTTTGATCCTAAATTTCTCATGAAGAGCCAGAGTTGTATCTTTCCTTTTCAAATGAAAGTGACTTCATTCCATCTCCTCAGATGCCAAATAAAGCATTCTTTGCACCTCACACTCTTCTCAGAAGCCTATAAATTCCATTGGCCACAGGCCCTTGTTGGCCTAGATTATAAAGTCAAATCTCACTCTCTAGTCACGGCTTCTTGAGAATATTTTTGAACCCTTAGATGAGAAGCTCATCTGGCATTAATAACCTTGCCAAGATCATGCAAGCCGTCCTCCTCATCTTTCATGATGATTGTCAGTTCTTCAAACCATTGTCTCTCCAGGGATTTTTGACAATTGACAGGACTTTGAACATGGGATTTGGAAAAAAAAAGTTTCTCTGCCTTATACTGGAGTATGCAGGCTTAGTAGAAAGCGCTGCCCCCCTCCCCATCAGAAAATCATTGGTTATTTTTCATTTTTAAGTAATATTCTTATGAAAGAAAGTGCAGAAAAATAGGGGGGAAAGATAATCCATGGGTTCACCACTAAAACACCTTCAGGAGAAAAGTAAGGTGATATTGAAATATGGCCAATGATAGAAAAATTGGTGGTGACAAACCGGAAATTGGGAACTAGAAATTTTAAGCAACCTAATACTTTTCTTTTATAAAGCACAAAATCAACAGGCTTTGGCTCCCAGTGTACAGGAATGCCGAGATGGGTACATCACACTCCCTTCCAGCATTACATTATGCAGGCAGTTTGACGATGCTGTGCTTGAGACACTGGCTCGTGAAACAAAGCCAATGATAATATTATCTCATGTTTAAAAAATTCCTTGACATGTCTCTCCTGAATTCAGCGTTCTGAGAGTACTCTACTAGAAACCCTTCGCTGGAGGCCCGGCCCAGCCTCTTGGCATGTGGACTCATTGACAGTCACTCCGCAAACCCTGCACACAGCTGGAGCCAGCTCCTGGTCTGGGCACCTGGAACACAACTATGGACAAAACACAAATCCCTGCCCTTGGGGGGAGGCTGACATTGGGGGTTGGTGAGGAGGTGAGACAAACCATGAACCAAATAAATGATACAGTATGTATCTTCTAAGATGATGGTGCCAAGGAGAAATTCAGAAAAGGAAAAATAGGCCAGAGGTCGGGGGTGACTATGATGTTTTAAACAGGATCAGGGGAGACAAAAAGGTTAGAGAGGGAGCCAGCTGTCTCTCTCCCAAGCAGAGGGAAAAAGTACGAAGACCCCGTGCCAGCAGGAACAGCGTGAGCAGAGGAGGAGATGAGGACAGATTGTGAAAACCTTACAAGGGCTTTAGTTCTCACTGTGACTTCAGGACAAGGTATGCAGGGAAAAATTTTGCCCAAGGAAATGGAGGGTGGCTGTTTTTCTATCAATATATGGACTAATTAACCGCATTATTACATTTCTTTTAAAAAATAGAGCAAATTCTGCTCCATGCAATCTACACAAAACCAGGTTACCATCAAGATATTCTATCAATGGGCCTGGCCTGTGTACACATTATGCTCAGGGATTCTTCCCAGATTCTTCTGAGATAGTTTTTTAAATGCCCAGAATGCTGACTTCCACCTCCCAGACAGGCAGTGCATGTTTCCTCGTTCTGCTGGCTCTGGTTCTTACTCTGGGTCATCATCTGGGCAAAATGCAATAAAACATCCAGGGCAGAGTCTATGAACTAGGAATAAAAATAATAACGGCTTACGTTATCTAGTGCTCACTCCTGGCCAAGTCTTTAGCTGAGCTATTTCCTTAGAGTCTTTCATTTAACCGTCATATAACTCTATGAAGCAGGTACTATTATTGCCCCAATTTTACCAAGGAGGAACTGATAGGAAAATTTGCCCATGACTACCCAGCTAGTAAGTCCTGGAATCTCACAGAAACTCAGGCTCTGGAATCCAGAGTCCATATTATGAACACCAAAGTTAAGTGAATATAGAAGGCCTTTTGGTCTAACTTCTCCATTACTAATTGTGTGGATTAGAAGTGGAGAAATGAGAGGGAAACGTAATGCGATTTTTCCCCCTGATAAATGAAATAAACCTAAAGATGCAGTGCTTGGTATATTTCTAGACATTTTGGCCAAGCAACAGTCCTTATACTGTTACTTTTGAAGCATTACCAATGGAGAGATTCTTAACTATATTTTGTGCTAGAATTCGATGTGGACCTAGTTATGTTACAAATATCCATCTCCGAAGCCACCTGTAACCACCTCAAAGATTTTCAAGGACTCAAAACCAGTTTTAAGAACTACCAACTACCCTCAAATTATTTCCCTACCCTTCTGTAGTAAGTCTTTCCTCCTCTTCAGGACCCATTAAGTACAACCCACCCCTCATTCAAGTGAATTTGAGCACTAGTTTGGGCTCAAACAGTTTCTTAAAGAAAAACATTTTATTCAATTCATTGTTCTTTCTTTTTTCAAGCAAGACAAATTATTTCAGAATATGACTGATTTTATTGTGGGTGTATACCTTAGCACAAAGTTTGTGTTCAGTTAGTGCGCAGGCAATCGTTGTCATTATTATGATTTCTATCACTTTACTCCAAGCAGGGTTCTGCGGGTTCTATACACATGCGTCCACCCTCTCCGCAGGCTCCCTGAAGTCTCTCGCCAGAGGGGGCACTGTCTGCCCTTGGAAGGGATTTCTCTCCACTCATAACAGATCAAGATAGGTTTTATTTTGCTGAGTTTTGCATGTTTAGTAGTGGGGAATTTCTTGCTTTCCTCCACGTTTCCTCCTCAATACTCCGTCTGGGTGTCACGGAGTATCACCGGCATCAGCGGACACCTTCCTCCCCTCACCTGTACTACGTTAAAGAGGGAAATGGGGTTTGCTGGTCTCAAACATAAACTCAGAGGATCTACTGATGAGTAATTTATCAAATGTGTGAATGCAGTAGAACCTGTGGTAGGAT